ACTGGGCCTCCAAGCCACATAAGTCCATGCCTATGTTTCTGAAACCCACAAAACGCAGGCCCGTATTATGTTGTTTTCTGAAAATCTAAGTGTAAAAACTCGAGCGAAAACTCCTAAATTCCCGAGAAATACACGCCACCAGGGCGTTGCACTCTCCCGAAGTAAGGATGATAGTATACATTCCTGATTGCAGGGGAATGCATTTTCATAGGGTAAGGTTCTTGTGGTTGTTGCTTCTCATTTCGTGAAGGTCACAAACCTAGACCACCAGGGGTTTTACTCTTTTGGGCAGTGGCCCCTTCCCAAAACTTTAAACTACCAAAACCTCTATCGCCCAGAACTAAACACTTGCAGAACTAAGCGGTTTAATGGCTTGGTGCTTGTTGAGGTTGGAAGGGAGCAAGAAAAGCTTTCTGCTGCAGAGAGGTTCTACGAAGGCTACTACCCCTCGCCCGTCTACCCACCTAAACCCTAAACCGTAAGCCGTTTTCTGACTCTCCTGGACGTTGCTTCGATGACGGACCGAAAAGCAAGTACAGAGCTACACAGCTACGCAGGAGAACCCACCGACAGCTGTTTGACGCTTGTCAGGCATATGGTCGAAAGTCGCTGCTGCAAAGGCGGCCAAAGGCCTGCGGAAGACTTCTTTCGGCGGTTTAGGGTTTAGGGCTTAGGATTTCGCTACTTTCACAAGTTCTTGACGGAGGTAGTACTACTGCGACGAGCTCTAGAATAAGATGGCCGGCTGGAATTCCAGCATTACTTGGAGTACCACTACAACTGCTATTGTTGTTCTCCTGCGCATTTTCATCTTCTAAATGCGATATTGGAAAATCGTGCATGGCATGAAAGTCAAGAAGTGTGCGCATGCCTGCCACTTGCCCGACAACGTCCTGAGAGTACCATGCAGTATGTGCCATGCCACGGCAGCATGTATGAATGTATGCAATCATACATGTGTGCATGGATGCATGCATGCATCTATACAGCATGCGCTTGCGTATCTATGTTATGTGCATGTGTATGCATGCATGCATGTATGCATGCCCATTTGTTTCGACGTTTTGGTATTCCAAAATTATTCTGTTCTTCTTTGGTAGCAACTTTGAGCTTTGAACTCTTGGGAATCTGAACCAGAAGATGTCGTACTCTCCCACCCCACAACCCCAAGACCCAACATCCTTGTTAGATCCCTCAAGAGAGCCTTAAGGAATCCTCCTAGATTAGCTGAAGGGGCATTGAAGGAACCCATGTCCAGATCCCTTATAGAACCTTTGAACAGAGGCACCCTAAACCACCCTAAACCCTAAACCCTAAACCCTAAACCCTAAACCCTAAACCCTAAACCCTAAACCCTAAACCCTAAACCCTATCCCTAAACCCTAAACCGTCTCCTCAGACGACGAAGTCCGTGCCCTCCTTCGAACCAAGCCGCGCGATCGCGCGGGAGAGGTCTTGGCGGCGCAGGAGCGGACTTCTTATAGGGGCCTTAATAATTAGAATAGGGTTTTTAGGTATATTATACTATAATTATAATAAGGAACCCCCCAAAATACGTATTGGTAATTATTTAGGCCCCGACATTAGGTTTTTGGAGTTTAGGATTTTAAGGTTCAGGATTCAGGCTTCAGGGTTTCGGGTCTGTGTGGATGAGAATGCTGTCCATATACATATTTTTCCATGGCACTCTATATATTTTTTGTGGTTGGAGGTTCAGTTCGTTCTTTTCGTGTGGTTTATAGTTTTTTTGAATAAGTCGATAAAGGAGACAGTAGAGCTCGTTTTGAAGGCCTGCAGACAACTTTGCCCTGCTGTGTAATAGGTTTTATGTGTAATTAGACATACACATCTTTGAGTATGTTCAGGGTTCCTTTCAAGGTGTTAACAGGGTACTACAGGGGTAAGAACTTATTGTCTGTTCCTCATGGTTCCCTAATATGTCTAGAGACGTCTAGAGTATAACCTACAGTAGTACAGCCCCCAAACAGACGCAGGCTTTGCATAACCACCAACTCTGGCCTAGATCGGAGCTGTTCTGATAATGTTTCTGCTCGTCAAGATCCAAAACTCGGTTCAGCATCGTCATCGCGTTGCTCAAGATCGCATGCATACTTGTGACGAAAGTACTATAATCGCAATGGCTCGAAACAGTGCATGTGCGAGAGTCGTGGTAGTAGTAGTAGCAGCAGCAGCAGCAACAGCAACAGCAGGAG